TTCAACAGTCTGATTTGTGCATCCGAGGGCGGATTCAAGGAGACGGCATAGCAAGAAGGGTGATGATGATGACAATGATCAATCTCCGATAAGGAAGCTGGCAACGTTGGCTGATTAAACTGTATTGTCGGCCCAACGATTCAAGCGTTTTGACAAGCTGCACATTGGATGTCCACTGTCGTCGTAAACAGTCTCGATAACAGCAAATGTCCTACTTCCCTCCCTATGGAACGTTTCACCCGTCTTGAAGGCTCGCGCAGATTCTCGGCTGTTTATGACTGCACAGTGGATTGGCATTTCTTGCACAATATTTGGACAAAGTCATGCTGGATTTCCCGCAGAAGTATAAAATGACCTAAACACGATACACGAAATGTGGAAATTCACACCACACATGAGGCATGTAACAGCATTGGCTCTATGCCCAACTACCTTGCAACAAGTGCCAGATGGTGTCAGCTTTGTAATTACTGATAGCTTAGCAGATGTGACGACAAAGGTGATAAAGTGAACGATAAGTACACGATAAAAGTACCAGAGTAAAATATATGGACAGGAAACTAATACACAATGACCAAACTCAGAATCGCAAAAGAAACTGAATTTGGCAAAAATAAACATGAAAAATCTGATCTGCGTAAAGTAATGAACGATGCAAACGGGTCTGTCAAATAGAGCGAGAAAAGCCTTACTGTGAGCACTATTCGCAGGCAGGAGAGTCAAAATTAGAAGACGAGAGACTATTAAAACAAAATGGGGAGGGTCAAGAATTTGGGGTTGGGGTAAAGATGAAGTTGGAACGGGACGATAAGGATGAAAAAGCGCAAGAGAGGGTATAAGAAGATGGCAATGCGTGAGAAGTAGCATTCACACCCTTATCCACCATGCTCGATGCAATGGATAGGACGCCGTTGACTATACTTATCCTCTGCGACGGCCAGAGCATCAAGGAGAGGAGGATACTGTCAGGTTGCCCAGGCATAGACAAAAGGACGATTAGGGCTCACAACCAATGTCTTTGGTTAAAAAGCCTGAAAGCAAGGCGGCAGCACTCGGCTACAGGGAGTCCATTTTATGGAGTAACGAGCCACCCTCACTCCAACCCACAATCTGAAGGACCAGGAGACTGAGTTCGTTTGACCTCTAACCACTGAGCAATCAGGCACGAGTGAATCTGAAGTTGCAAAAAGCACTACCGAGCATAGCTCAATGGATCGACGAGGCCCACAAACCATCGCACCATGTTAAGTTCCAGTCACATTGTGATGGAGACGACGACGATTCACCGAGTTTGAGCAGATCGCTGAATCTTACCGCTCTATCATAGATTCAAGGGACGTACTTGATCAAGCTGGATAGCATATGGAAAGTAGTTGTAAGACTGTGCAATACTGCAGGTTCAGTAGGGGTCGCTGACTCAGTTGAGAGCAGTAGTGCTATGCCGAATCAGAAGATGCTGTGGTGACTCTCATGGTTGAGTATCAATGATTTTTCTACACACTGAGCTTCGGTGCTGTAATTTGCCACCACTATTATTTCTCGCGTGTCCATTCTAGTCTTTTTAGCTGTCGTGGTAATAGCCTGATGACGAACCACTACAAAAGGGCTTGTTCGCTACCTCTATATTCCGATAGCTAAAGTATTTGCTAAAGGACCATTGTTCTTATGGTCTAAGCATAAGGTCAAAGCTTTTCAATTTCTGTAAGTAAAACCCGATATTTGCTACCTCCTCAATCTAAGCGGGCTATCTTGGTCAGAACAAGTCATTCAGTGCATCAGATTTTAACAGTTTCAGTATCAATATTTACACTTATTCTTTCTACATGTTTTCTGCAACATCGTTAGCATTCCCGAGTTGTGTTCCAATAAAAAGTTTGGTTTTTTCCTCATCAATGTTCTGGCTCAGAGGATTACAACACTTGGTGAATTGTGATCCAATGTGAAATTTTTGCTGGTGGTTGGACCATACGGGTTGCAAGTACATAACAAGGTTACACACTAAAGGATCGCACTGGTCATGCTCACGAAACCAATGTACCACTCAGTTTGAATTTGCCTTGTGTATCATGCTTGCTGAATCGTGTCTTGTGAAATTGTGAAATACACCAATCATTCATTCATGCATTCACGCAAAATCGTAGCTAATTGCTAGGTCAAGGTACGGGGTTAACCCGTTGTGTCCCGGCGGTACTTATAAGTACCACTTTAGTTAAATTGTAATACTGTTCCAATACAGGTGTTATTACTTCCGGTACTCGCGAGGATACGAACATTAACATTCTGTCAACAATTAAGTAACGACCAGAACTCATACTTTGCTCTACTGTGTGGAGTCAACTTTTGTGGTTCATGTCGAGCGTGATCGGTAGTTGGTTTCAAAGAACTGTGAGTTAAAATTTAGTTTTGTTAATGCTTGCCAGCCCTATTAATTCTTAATCATTTTTCTAGTGGACATGTCATGATTGGGTATGTTTATTTCACAATTTTAAGCATAATCCGTAGTATACTTATCCAAAATACATGTTGATGCCAGAAAGTACTGCTAGGCCTCAAGCGTAACATTAACAGTTAGAACCTGTACTGGGCATAACGATGAGTTGAGGCGCAAAATTTAGAGATTTGTTCTTGTAACAGAAAGTGTTTAACAGCCATCAACTTTAGAGTTTGCTGCTGAGAGACCACACAGACAGAAGATAATTGTTGATTTTAATCTAGCAAAGATTAACTGGTCCTCTCAACTATCCTCGCCTACTTATACAGCTTTTCTTTCTGCTCTCAGAATTGATGAGTGGATACAGTGGGTTACTGAGCCAACAAGAACGACCAGTATACTCGACCTCATATTCACTTTGAGGGTCACAAGTGCACAAACAGAGGTAGTAGACAAACTCTCTGGTAGTGACCACAAGATGGTACTATTCACTTTCTGCGTTAAATTGGCCACCAAACACGCTTTTATTCTACGCTTTTATTCCCATAGGATAAACTGGAAGCAATTCCAACAATTTATCCGGTTATCCAATTGGGATGCATTCTTTCTCTCTAACAATGTGTGCAATGCCGTGGACTATTTCTACCATCGGGTCAATCAGGCCATTGCAGTCTTTACTCCCCAAGACGAGGGGATCACACGTGTCCAAAAAGACGCAATCGTGCGTTCAGTCAGCCGGAAACATAGAAGACGAATTGCTGGATACAGAAAGACGGGAAATTTCACCTTGTTTTTAAGCTGCACAATATCATGGACAGGGTCAAGCACATACAGTTGATGAAGAGAATGCACGAAGAATAAGTAGCTTTAGGAACAACAGGTAAGACGAAAAAACTTGTTAATATTCTGCGTCGCAGAACTAATAACCACTCCCCCTTGATCGATGGACTGATTAATGCAGACGGACAGTCGCTTCATGATCCAGCCGACATCTGCGAAGCGTTTAGCTTATCTTTCGTTACCTCCATAAGCCTGGAGACGTCCCCGTTAAATGCATACATTAGGGAGCAAACAACCAACGCCCCGTGTGACATTGAATTCCTATCATTACTATACTACATTTAATGAATTCTACCAAACCGTCTTACCATCTGGATTCCGATGGTATCCCACCTGCCCTCATTAAACTGGGAGGGCTTGACATGCCGTCACTTTTGCTGAACCTGTTTACCCTTACGTTGGAATCAACCTACTTTCCAGACCAATGAAAACATCGCTCATCATCCCCCGTCACTAGGATAGCTCCAACCAAGAAATTCATATATACCGGCCAGTCCATTACACCCATGTAGTAGCCGGAATATTAGAGAAACTGGTTAAGAATGGTGTGATGAAATGCAGCAATTCGCTGGAGCTAATAGACAGGTCACAGCATGGTTTCCTGGATAAACGATTGTGCATAATCTGCCAATTACATTATCTAAACCATGTTTCGGCTTCTATTGACTCAAGATCCGCAATCATACTTCTGTTTCTGGACGGGGAAAAGGCATTCGATCGAGTGCCCCACAAACGGTTGCTAAAAAAGATTGATTCCTTTGGAATTCAGGACCCACTCCTAAGTTGGCTATTGTCATACCTGAGCGGCCGTTTTCTGGTAGTTACCATAGCTGACCACCACTCTTCACCGCGTCTAATCGCTAGTGGTGTTATTCAAGGGAGTGTACCCGGTCCGTTAGTGTCCATGCTCTACGTCAAT